CCTGATTCAATGTGATGGCTGAGCCTGTTTCTGAGATAACAACATGCCAATCCGTGGTTGGATTTCCGACACGGCTAACCGTAAATCATCTTATACTGTCAATAAGCATGACTGATACTTGAGCCAACTCTGCTCTAACTGTTGACTAGCAGTGGGAGTCAGATTGCCCCCTAGTGGATGGCTAAAGATTTGCTAACTCGTATTCATAAATCCTCAAGGGAATGTCTCTGAATTAACTGATGCTCGCGCCCCCCCTTGACAGGTGCTTGCGCCTCACAGGTTGAAAATCCCTGGTCTAGGAGATGAGGTCTTCACTGGGGATCTGTCTCTGGGGCTCATCTAGTTGTCCTGACATTAAGGGCTGTAAAGGTCATCTCTAGGTGCTGATCCACCATCTGGGCTGGATACGTACTGGATCCGGGTGACTGCAGTGACCATCTGATCTGGATACAGACTGGATCTGGTGGCTACGGTGACCTCTGAATAAATGTACCACTCTATGATGTAATAGTGTGGTTAAACACCACCTCCACATCACTGCCTGTTTAGCCCCGCCCACTGATATGACACTGTGGAAAAACACAAAAAAAACCTTTGTTCACTTCATTTTTGGGCCGATTCGTTTACAAACAAGGCACAATTCGGCGCAAGATTTTCAGAAAGATTGAAACTAAAAGACGATGCTGTGCGACTATATCGGATACGACAGTAATGTCGCAACACACAAGAGTGAGTAACTGTTTTCATTGCGTGGTCACTATTGCTTTATCTGTTTTTACAGATCGTTTTATATGTACTGAGTATTTAGCCATTTTTTGACCTAAATCACAGAAGTGTCCATCTGTGAAGGATGTAGACTGCCAAACATACAAAACTATTAGCCAATCATAGCAGTGGGCGTTTACTTCGAGTCTACAATCCGTCACGCCTATGCAATCAGAGTGTTCTGATGAGGGGGTTAAAAACGACATCACTTCAATTTTTTTTTTTTGATGTAAAAATCTTGATGACATTACGTGTGGACCTCAGAGAACAGTAAAAAACTAGATTGAAAAGTTTGTAGACAAACTTTAAGTTGGCTTGCAAAAGCCTAGCCAGAAAGTTGGAAAAAGTTTTAAAAGCTTGCAGTCTGAAAGTTTTCAGTTTGAAGTAGTTTGAAATTTAAAATAGTTTTAAAGATTAAAGTTTGAATATTTTCAAGGCAATACAGTCTATCAGAAAAATACAGATAGGTATAAAACATAACTCTAGACCCTCTAACTCTAGCACTCTCTATTCTAATTATATTCTTAAAAAAACTTTTCCCTTTTAGACTTGCACTCTATTCATTTGCTGCTTGTTTTCTTTATAAAAAAAAATAGCTCTAGCTTTCTAATGTTTTTGTATTCTATCTGTTTTCTTTTCATTTATTATACAATTAACAAAAGAAAAAAAGACCTCTAACACAGGCTTGCTCTATTCTTTTTCTATTCTATCTGTTTTCTTTTTATTTATTATATTATTTTAAAAAACCTTGCTACGCGTACTGCGTTAAGCTAACTGAGACTTGTTATAGCACTTGTATATAATTGCTCTTTTGTTGATTTTGATTGCTTCCATTGTCTTCATTTGTAAGTCACTTTGGATAAAAGTGTTAAATGACTAAATTTAAATGTAAAACATATTGCTAGGTTACTTGGGGTGGTTGCTAGGCTGTTTCTAGCATGACTAGCATGTTGCTAACATGTTTTTAGAATGATTAGCATGTTACTAGCATGTTTATAGCATGTTTAGCATGTTTCTAGCAAGATTAGCAGGTTGCTAGCACAATTAGCATGTTACTAGCAATGTTTCTGGCATGATTAACATGTTACTAGCATGTTTCTAACATGGTTATCATGTTGCTAGCATTATTAGCAAGTTACAAGCATGTTTCTAGCATGATTAGCATGTTAATAGCACGTTGTTAACATGATTATCATGTTACTAGCATGGTGTTAACATTTTGTTAACATAATCAGCAAGTTACTAGCATGTTTATAGCATGATTAGCATGTTACTAGAATGTTGTTAGCATAATTAGCAAGTTACTAACATGTTAGTTTGATTCTAGCATGATTAACATGTTACTAAAATGGTGTTAGCATTTTGCTAGCATGATTAGCATGTAACTACCATGTTAACATGATTAGCAAGTTACTAGCATGTTGTTAACATGATTAGCAAGTCATTAACATGTTGCTAGCATTATTCTAACATGATTAGCATGTTACTAAAATGGTGTTAGCATTTTGCTAGTATGATTAGCATGTTACTACCATGTTATTTTCATGATTAGCAAGTTACTAGCATTTTTTCTAGCATTATTCTAGCATGATTATCATGTTACTAGCACAATTCTAGCATGCTTAGCATGTTACTAGCACAATGCTATCATGTTTCTTACGTTTATCAAGTTTCTAACATTTTGTTAACATGTTCATGAAAGTTACTAGCATTTTGTTAACATGTTTCTAGCATGATTAGCAAGTTACTAGCATGTTGATAGCATGATTAGCAAGTTACTAACATTTTGTTAGCATGTTTCTAGCATGATTAGCAAGTTACTAGCATGTTGTTAGCATGATTAGCAAAAGTTACTACCATTTGTTAGCATGTTTCTAGCATGATTAGCAAGTCACTAGCATGTTGTTAACATGTTTAACTAGTTACTAACATGTTGCTAGCATGATTATAGCATGATTAACATGTTACTAGCATGATGCTAGTATGTTTCTAGCATGATTAACACGTTACTAGCATGGTGTTAACCTTTTTTTAGCATTATTATCAAGTTACTAGCACGTTTCTAGCATGATTAACATGTTACTATCATGTTGTTAACATGATTAACAAGTTACTAGCATGTTACTAACATTATTCTAGCATGATTAACATTTTACTAGCATGATTCGAGCATGATTAGCATGTTACTAGCATGATGCTAGCATGTTTCTAGCATGTTTAGTAATGTTGCTAGAATGTGTCTAGCATGATTAACAAGTTACTAATATGGTGTTAACATGATTCTAGCATGATTAACAAGTTACTAGCATGTTTTACTAACATGATTAGCAAGTTAATAGCATGTTGCTAGCATGAATATAGCATGATTAACATGTTACTAGCATGATTCTAGCATGATTAGCATGTTACTAGCATGGTTGGGATGCTACTAGCATGATGCTAGCATGTTTAGCAAATTGCTAGCATGTTTCTAGCATGATTAGCACGTTACTAGCATTATGTTAGCCTTTTTTAAACATGATTAGCATGTTACTAGTGTAGCGAATCAGCTCAAAGGGGAAATATAAATAATTAATCATAACTAGTTATAATTAATTATAAATATTTAGATCCACTGTAAGTATTTACTTGACCTCTCAGGGTCAACTGTCTGTCAATTCTAAGAACGTTAATTTCCTGGTTAAGGGAAATAACTTTCTTACTGTACAATACCACTCATGTACTAGCATGTAGCAGAAATCTGCATGATTAGGGACTACGATTATGAGCAAACAATGAACAACCTCAGGTGTGATACAAGTAAGACTTTATTAACTACATAAACACTTAAACTATTCTAACATACACCTATACATACACACACACACACACACATGCATACAGTTGGTATAGGAAAAGGGTTAAAGCTTAAGCAGTAAAGAGAAGAGAAATAAAAACATGAAGCTATGGTACCATTTGATATTCAGCAGATCTCCAGCCTGAAGGGAACATCAGTTTCTTAGTTCAAACACACCTTTGTAAAAAGGTGCAAATGATACTTAATGTATCAATTAATAA